AAAGCTGTTTCACTTGGATGCCTGAGTCTGGCAAAACTTTCTTTATTGGTACCCCTCTTAGATGGGGTCCAAGTCTATCACAGATTACCCACTTAATAATTCTTCAGGTTTCCAACTAATTACCAACTGAGTTTATAACATAACCAAAGTAAAGCGTGTGCTCTGATTGGTCAATTCAGCGTCCCCCATTTGCCCATGGGTGTATGCTGCTGACGTGAGCAAATGCAAAGACTATTTTTCCGTGCGTGCTTGTTTTTTTCTGGTCGCGTAAGATTTGTTAATAAAAGGGAACTCTTTAGCTACAATGTATCAATGTTATGTTATAAAACAAATGGTAAACACCACAGCGTACACTATTGAGTTATGGATACACTTGGGAGGTTTGCTAAGCACTCAAGAAGCTAGAGTCGCTCTCGGCTATCGCCTCGAGTGACTCTTACGCTTCTTTCGTGCTTAGCAACCTCCCACGTGCATCCATAACTCAATAGTGTACGCTGTGGTGTTTACCATTTGTTAAATTTTAAGTGGAACTGCTTAGACTAACTGCAGTGTTTTTTAAATTTCAGGAATCATTGACTGAATCCCTACATATAATTCCTGTCAGTCGGATAAAGGACATTGAAAATGTGAAAGATGTTAGTATTAGCACTGTTATTATTAGCATGAAGCTGCAGTTGCAAGAGAGACACTTAATGAAACCAAATTAACAAATCTAATCACAGGAAACAAGCAATGAATTATATATTTTTGAATTCTTCATCATCTAGGCTTGTTGTGGTCTGTGGCCATGATCAGCACAAATTATTAATAATTAATTGAAATCATTGTTTGTTTCTGATATTGTGATTGGTGAATTTTATGTTCTGTAGTGACCATTGAAAAAGATGGCATTAAAATTTCTTCTCTTCAAAGGTTGAATTATGTAGCACTGAGTTCTGATAGTACAAGTACAATGACTATGAGAGAGAAAAATGGTTATTGTCTTTTCTTAGTTCACTTTGTTGCAACTTGCCTTGGTGATAAATATGTAGTGCTGAGCCAGGCAGACCAACCTACTTAGATCTGATTATTAAAAACATTCTTATTGATGAATGTATTGTTGTCAGTAAAAGCAACAACTCATTCTAACTTTAATATTTTTAGGAAAAGCGTTCAACATTCAAAGTGATAACTCCAAACAGGATTTTTATTCTTGCATCAGAAAATATCAGTGAGTAACTCTTACCAAACACAACAAATATATGAAATTGTGTTTGATTTATCATCTTACGCAGTTTATGTCGCACTAATTTGATGACCTGCTCCCAGTTGGCTTCTTTAAGCTCAATTGGTAGAGTGCTGCTCTTAAGCATCACAGAGGTCAGTGGTTCGAATCCCGTACAGGCCTGAATTTTTTCACGTCTGATTTTCACTATTGCTTAAATAGTGCTCTTTACTGTGTGTATCCTGCAGAAATACTTTTACCAGTTGCTCCTTTCTCCTCTGATGGATATCTCTTTTGTTAATTCTATTTTCTATGTTTTGAGTTATTTGTATATCATAGCCTGCGAAGCAAGCCCTGGGGGAAAGGAGGGGGGATTGGGGGAAGCGGAATGTGTAGAGGGGAGAGGGAGGGCTTGCTAGAGACCCCCACTAACTAACGAAACGCCCCCTATTTTCATCTTGCATCTTGCATTTTCATCTTTTCGTCTTGCATATGTCAATCAGCGCCTCTTAAAATTAACCAATCAGAAAGCGCCGTTAGCGAGAGCTCAGTGAACCATGCAACTGTCAAAAAACCAACTAAAACTTGCTCCATGTGAGTGAGAAATGTCAGACGACAAGGAGAATCTGGTATCAAAATCTAAGAGAGGGAGAAAGCCAAAAGTTAGCCCAGAAGATCTAGTTTGCCGGTTTTGTGGAGTAGATTTAAGAATTAAATTTAGAAGTGGCTTCAAGAGTTTTGTAAACACTTTTAATCAGAGTCAAAGGGAAGAATTTCAGTGTGTCTTTGCCGATCGCCTTTGAACGGTTGGTTTTCACTTTGAAAATAAGTTGCACATATCTCAAATTATATGCCTTCCTTGTGCAAGAAAAGCTATCAGTTTTTGCCAGTTTTGTGAATTGTTGAATAAGGCCACTTCTCAATGCCTGGATTCCCGTGATGTTTTGTCAAAATGAAAGTTCTCAACACCGACAGGAAAAAGTCTATGTAGAAATAGCTTGCGTGTCTGCTCCCCGGCACATGCAAAGCCTACATCTAGCAGGGAAGCGTTGCTTGATTCACCAACGAAAGGACAACCCTCAACTTCAGCGATGGATACAAATTTAAACATTGATGATTTGGATCCAAAGTCCATCGGCTTTGCAATGTTGTGGTAAAGGGCAAGTTTGAGAATGAAGACGCCATTCTTATCAAGGCCCTGAGCTTGAACAAGTAGATGGCTGCCACAAATATTCTACTTCGACATCAATTCTTGAGGGCAGGACTTCTTGAAATCACCATTGTCTGCCATTTTCTAAAAGGTAGTCATCATGAAGACTGTTTAGTTTGAGGGTTGATTGACAACGTGTTGCTCTCAGCCAATGGGAATTTTTTGTCCATACGAGATCGGAAATTTCGTTGGTTAGTGGGGGTCTGTGGCAAGCTCTCCCTCTCCCCTCCGCACATTCCGCTCGCCCCAAACCCCCTCCTCTCCCCCAGGGTTTGCTTCACAGGCTATGTATATCAATTGATGATATTGAAATGATTTTTAGAAAAAAATAATTGCAACTTAATATTATTTCCAGTTATTTATTTTTTATAATCTTATTGATACAATGTAGAAACTGCAATGTATAAATTTAAAAAATGTTTTGTACCTCTGATTTTCAATCAGTAGAATTTTGGTAAATTTTGCAAGGCATTTTACTTGAGGATGTATCAGAAAAGTATTAATATTTTAGGATTATTGTGTAGAGCTTTTTTTGATGAGATTTACTGTCTCAACCATCCAGCTTCATTATCTTAACTCATTCTTATAATTTGATACAAGCATTTAGCAGTTATCCAAGCTCCCAATTTTGCACTTGTTTGTATTATAAGCAAGATTTGATGGAAAAGAAAATGCAGACCTGAGCACAGTTGAATTCAAATGGCACTATTATTAGCACCTGGCTGATTATTATTATCCATTATTGTAATTTTTTCCCTTTTTTCTGCAGCGGAAATGAATCTCTGGTCTCAAACTCTCATGGAGGCAATCATAAGCTTCAAGGTAAAGTGGAACTAAGTGTGACAATTTGAATTGACGCTGATAAACAGCTAAAAAAGGATGAAAATTACAGGGTGTTGTGCTGAGTCTGGAATTCTTGGAGGAGAGAGGAAGTGTGAGATTAACAAAAGCAGTTAAAGAAATAGTGATTAATTCCAGACAAACATAAAGAAGGGTGGAGCTAATTTTTCATCCTATAGATCATGGCAGCCATATTGGTCATTAAAACAATAAAAATGATGGCAAATAATTTTTCTTGGCTGCTTACTACATGGTTGAAAATGGTACACAAAGACCACTCGAGCACAGGGTATATGGGATTAATACTTTTGGTTTTATTTTTTTTCCTTTTTTTTTTTTGTAGGGAGATAGCAAGATGTGGAAGAGTGGTGGAGAAATGAGTGATCCAGACAAAGAGGTAGATGAGATGATGATGATTTTGGTGTCCTTGACCTGCAATAAAAACTCTATCAGAAAGAAAAATGCTTCAAAAAAATTTCTTCTATTGATAGAAAGGAGATCTTCACAGGCAACTGAAGGGTCAATTTATTCACTCAAAGTAGCCTTCTGTGAATCATCTGCAAAATAGATCCCTTCTGCATAACATAGTAGCAATTGATGCTTGCTTAGTTAACCAAAATATTTAGTAAAGAAAATTGAAGTACATAAGTAAGTAGCATGTAATGTATGAAAGTGATCCTTGCAATAATAAACCCTACTTATGTGGTAGTAGAAATAGAGCCTTTTTTTTTTTTCCGGCCTTATTTCCACTACTACATAAGTAGGGTTTAGTACTGCAAGGATTGCTTCCGTACATTTCATGAAACCGCAGTGCTTGTATATGATTTTCATATATTCAAATTCATTGAAGTAGCATGTTTTTCTAACTTTTTGTACCTTTGTCCCCTAAGAATTTTTTCCCCACCAAATTGAAGATAGTAGCCATCTAATGATATTCACACTTGTCTGTTATCAGGGATGGCTGAAGAAACAGGGACACAATGTTGTGGCTGACTGGAAGAAAAGGTTGCCAGAATATAAATATTTCATAGTTCCTTTATGCAGTGAGTTATTTCAACCCTCAAAGAGTGACATCCAATTCTGAATTTTTGTTTTCCTTGCAGATATGTAGCTGTCAAGGGGGACAAGATCTGTTAATATGACACTTATGAGGTGTGTTTCATTCTTATTTTATTTACTTCTGGGGTATGATTTAATCTGAATTCATGGTTGACATGGATGGTTCTCTTTGATAGGAAAGGTTCATCAGGAGACAATTTTAAACAAAAATTCTAATATTATTCTTACATATTAACTGATAAAAATTTGTTACCATGACAATTTTATCAGTGTAGACAACATTTCATTCAAGGTCTTAAATGTTGTTTTCAATGGACCTGTCTAGCTTGTATGTTTTGTTTACTAATTTCAGGTCTCAAGGGAATTTCCAACTTGATCTTCTGTAAATTATGCACATTGATAAGGGAAAATTTGAAAGAAACTGTATTCTCATTACATGTTTGCTAAATAATGTATGGATATTATAGGGAGAAGTTATATGTTGATCACTTTAGGGAATTAAAGGGTTGAAAAGAACCTCAAAGTGTTTACAATTTTTTAGGCTTTAATGTTTTTATAGATTCATTTGGGGATTTGCCTTGGAGTGTTTCAGGGGCATATTTAACTTATTAATCTCATTTTACCTTTTGACGCTGTGACTGACTGTAGAAAAGCAAATTGTCATCAATCTTTTTTTAATTTAGGACTTTATTCATGCAACACCAATAAATTGCATCAATGCTGCCTTGGCCAAAGTGAAAACTGTGGACGGGCACAAGAACAGATTTGTAATAATCACATTCAGTAAGTCTTACAGGTGAGTTTAATCTGGTGTCATGGATGTTTTCTTTACCTTTGTTTAAGTTACCTTTAGTTGACCATTTGTTAGATTGGTCACTTTTGGTGTGACAATATTTACTGGAAAGTTCTTGTAGAGATTGAAAAAGCCCATGAGAAGGTTTGTTTTATTCTGAGCCACGTTTTTAATAACTAGATGTTTAATTGATTGCATTCATATTTTTAATTATATATATTTATATCAATAGAATAAATGTTTGAAAAGAAAATTTGCCCTGAGTGGGATTTGAACCCATGTCCCCTTGTTACTAGTCAGGTGTGATGACCACTACACTATCAGGACAACCATGCTGGCAATTGGATCCTCCTTTGTCATCCGCTAAGTTGACTTCGGTCGTGTATCTTTAATAGATCCTTAGTTGGGTTTCATATGGGGTTATAGGCTTCCCCTACCCTGTCACCTTGAAAATTAAGTTTCCCAGGAGACCACTTCTCCCTA